TTTTACAATTATGAGTGTTGAAATTCGATATTGGTGCAGTTATAATTACTTAAAATTTTTGTTATCTGTTCTAAATGTGACGTCGTTGGACAAGTACTAATAGTTATAACGAGTGTGACAACAACGCAGACTTCTTCCAGTGTAGTGATTTCAATAGCAATGGTGAACAATGCGAAAAAGAGATACCAGTTAATAAGATTCGGTACATATTCCTAGTAATAACGATTGTGATAACAACGCAGACTTTTTTCAGTGTAGTGATTCCAATAGCGATGATGAACAATGTGAAAAAGGGATACCATTGAATAAGATTTGGATGCATTTTAAGGAGCAACATCAGATTTGATAGGAATTTCTTTGACAACTGCACGTAAAATTGTCAAAAACAAACATTATGAACGCAAGACGCGATATGATACAGGATTGCCAAAGTATTTAGATGCTGATCTAATAAAATCATTGAAATAAACAATATACGATTGTTACAAAAGCAGTGAGATTCCTACAACTGAAATTATAAGGAAGAAATTGAACACTTCAGGCCATAACGTGAGCTGCTGTGACAACAATCTAAGAATTGGATAAATAAACTAGGATTCAGATTCAAAATAATAAACAAACGTCAAACAGTTGTTGAAAGCAGAAGAATAGTGGAATTGTATAAAAAATACGGCAACTTTTATATTTGGACGAAACTTGGTATGACACTTGGTATGACAGTTATGAAAGGGTGGACTGATGGTTCGAGAATGTGTACGTCTAGCATGCCTGCAAACAAAGGATCGCGACTAATCATTGTGCATTACGGAGGAAGTAAAGGATGGGTTCCGAATTCTTTGAAATTATGTGGAAAAAACTGGAGGACTGCAATGTTGACTATCATCTAAACATGGAAGCTAATATTTTCGAAGAAGGGTTTGAAAACACATCGATCCCAAATTTGGATGCGAATAGTGTAACAGTTCTTGACAACGCTGCCTATCACTGGCGACAGCTCATCAAAGTACCGAATAAAAATTCGAGGAAAGATGAAATACAGAGCTTTTTAATGAATAACAATTTGTATTTTGAAGATTACTATACCAAAAACCATACTTGAAGTTTTACAGACAAGAACTATTTGAAAAAGTGTATGCCCTTGAGAGTATTGCTGAAAAGAATGGACACACCATAGTGAGACTTCCTTCCTATTATGGTGTTTTCAATCCCATCGAGTTGATTTGGGGAAAATTGAAACAAAGCATCAGGTGCAAAATATGATGAGGAGGTAATAGAGCTAATTGAAGAAGAAGTAATTTTAGTTGAAAAAGATTATATGGAGATTGAACAACGAAGGTAGCTTGGAAGGTAGTTTGCACTATGTCGTTTATCTGAACTATACACTTCATATTTGTGATCACGAGCTAATGAACAAGAATAAAATGCGGAGACAAGACCTCCATTAAAATATTCTTCCACTCAACCCCAAAAATGCTGCCCTAACTTTATCAACCTTATCGAAGTTATCAGCATCATTACACATCCTTCCATGAGTGAATGTTTCAAGTTAATATTTTGAAAAAAAACTGGCCAGATTGTGTTACGAAGGATTCATCTGTTTGGTCAACGAAAGCCACTTGGAATTTCAGCAAAACTTTTCGTCCAGGAGAATCTATTTATTCCATCGCTTTTGTTTTTGGATATTTGTGATGAATATTCTTTGTACAAACCTTGGAAGGGGTATCCAGTGAAATAGGGAGACATATTCAGAGCAGATACTGCCATTTACCGGTGAACAAACTAGCGTCTTTGTGCAAGAAGCGACCGACGCGCACGTATGACTTTTCCAAAAATTCACTCCGGCACAAGTTGCGACTCACAAACGACAAAAGGGCACTGATCAAATAATATTGTCAAAAAAAGTGTATGATCGTTCTCACCGAATTACTCACAGTAAACTGACCAAAGCTAACTGACTTTGATGATCGTGTGTGGGTTCCTCTTGGGTGAGTTAATGACTTAGCACCGCCTCTGCCATTGAGAGTTCTTTTCTTCCTCGCAACTCTGATGGTGATTGGTCCTTTCCCTCATGGGCGGAGTTATGGGTTAACACGCTAGCTTTACCATGCTATGGGTTGGAGGACCACCCTAGGAGACGGTGAGTCTACCTCGACCCGGTAAAAATCGGGTTTTCAAGTTCACTTTCAATAAGGCATTTTTTGAATAACTTCAGTTTTTACAATTATACAGGGTGTTTTAAATTTGATCCTCATATTGGGATCTCGGAAACTATGAGAGATACGAAGATGTATAAATTGGGACAAATTTGCACATTTACCTGACTAACAATGTGCCGTTGAAAAAGTTCTGAAATTCCGAATATATCTGTAGATATCCGGAAATTTCGGAAAATGGTTTGAGTTTGGTTCGTTTGAAAAGCCAATGAAAAACTACGCTGGAAAAAATTGGCTGAGTAGGTAGTGATGAAACTTTTTTTTGTAAAATGGAAAATTATATTCGAAATCCATATACAGTGTCACACATAAAGTCCGCATCAAATGGGATTTTTTTTTGTTCATCTCTTCAAGCAACTGTTGATATCTCCATTAGGTTGTGATTTACAAATGATGCCAAATGACATGCATATGACCGATCAAGTGATTTTTCTTCCCTGTCAAATTTGACATTTTTTCCAAAAAATGTTCAGAAAAGCAGTTATTGCTCGAAATTTCGAAAATCGGTAAATAAAAAAGATGATTGTTTTTTCATTTTTTACCCATATACCAATTTTTAGCTCTCTAGTACAAATTTAGTTTTTTTACAGTTTTTCGAAAATTTGACATTTGCCGATTTNAAACTATCTCCACCAAGTTCCATGCAATGCTGATAACTCGATGCATTTCTATCAAACTGATACTGCAGAGGTAAATGAAGTTATCAAATCCCTGAAAAACTCGGGCTCGCTTGATATTTACAATCACTCAGTGGTTATGTACGAAGAAAACCTATCTGCGCTACTACGACCATTACATGTATTGTCAACTTGATTTTGAAATTTGGTGTATTTCCGTCAAAACTAAAAATTTCAAAGATAATTCCGGTGTTTAAAACTGGTGATATCAATCTTCCATCAAACTACAGACCAATTGTAGAAAAAATAATGGCAATAAGAATGATGAATTATTTAGAGTACCTACACAAATATCTTGACAGATAGATAGTTTGGATCCAGGAAAGGAAGAAGCATGTTGAAAGCGGTGCTCATAACTGAAGGTTTCGAAAACAAAGAATCAACACTTGGCATATTCCTCGATCTGAGCAAGGCGTTCGACTGCGTCTCTACTGACATTTAGAAAAACTGGGATACTATGGATTTGTAGGCATAGCACACAATCTACTAGCATCATATCTCAATGAGAGAAAGCAAATGCACATGGTAGTGTGATTGGGTCACTACTCTTGATTTATTTCAATATATGTATCGTTTATTTAGCACAAGCTAATGCAGTTACAATATTAGTCTTAATATAGGTTAAAAATTTAAATGTCACAATTAAAATTTAAAATT